ACATCCAAATAGATGACGAGATGAGGTCTTTGCAGGTCATAGATAGTGGCGTGTCTTACGCGGTAGTAATAGTCCGTCGCTTTTCACACAAATAAATATGTTTTTAATGAACTCAAGAGTTAGTACTTAAGAGTTAGTACTCAAGAGTTAGTACTTAAGAGTTAGTACTCAAGAGTTAGTACTTAAGAGTTAGTACTCAAGAGTTAGTACTTAAGAGTTAGTACTCAAGAGGTAGTAAAGGCAATGCATACCATTATCGCTAAAATATCCGCTTTTATTCATGGCTTCGGTGAAGACAAAGTCACTGTAAGGACTTCTCTCTAATATGACTCCCTGTCCGGTGTTGTAGAGGTGGGCCAAGGCGTCGATGTACTGTTCGTAGCGTTTCTTATAGAAAAACATTTTCATCCAATGGACGCCTCTGTGGTGCGGATCCTCTAAATACATGCGTTCGTCGACCGCCTGGACCTTAGGGTCGATCCATTTGTTGAGAGACCGGTAGTCGAAGCCGTTGTGATTGATATACATGTCCTCCAGATCTGGTTCAGGCATGTAGTGGAGGCCGAAGTGTTTGGCCAACGCCTGGGCCACCACTTCTTTGCCGGAAGCCTTGTTGCCCTCAATCACCACTATCTTACTGTTTGGGTCAAACCGGGCGGCCGTGTTGTCCAGGTCTAGCAGGTAGTGGAAGTACTGGAAGTGCCGTTTCGTTTTGTACGGCCACGGCTTGGGCTTGTCTTTTATGATTTGCGGATCCATTTGGTCGATGCCTATCATCGTCGCCCTCGAGGTCTTCACCAATGGCTGCACTCTCAGCATCGGATTCACACTTCTCGAGCCATTCAAACCAGTCGTGAGTCTCGTTGAGCACAACCTAATGAAAGACATTTCACACGACTTCGCAAACTATTCAATCGATTGATTGTATTGTAAATTGTATTCAAAATGAAATTTAATTCAATTGTAAACACATTTCACTCAATGTTTACATTTGTGTTCATTTGTCACGCATTCAGGCATTACGTCGAGTATTATGTTTCACTCAAACTTCACTCAACTTTGCATTCATTTCAATGGTTTGATTTGATTTTCTAATGACATTTAAATCAATGATTAATTAAATACAGTAAACACTATCAAAATGTGAGATAAATGTTGAAAACATAATTGTGTGGAAATGAATGAATGAGTATTAATAGCAAAAAGTTTGACAATAGTTTAGAAATGGTGTGAAAAGTGTGTGAAAGTGAAGAAAGGGTTGAATGAAACGATTGCACGCATTGAGCGCTCATTGGTTTATGCATTGAGTGATTGTCACAGACTTTGATTCACTTTGTTTTAAACACATCTCATATTCACGTCATTTGAATACATGTTTTCATTCATAACACGATTGAAGCCATAAGTGAGCCATAGTTTGCAAATCAATTCAATTGAAAGTCATATAAAATGAACGATAATTGCAATGAAAGCGAAATAAGTGATGAAAATTATGTCAATTTAATGAATCAAGTGATCAATTATTCACTCAATATCCACAACAAAGACACGAACTCTTCGTTCCCACGACTGGTCGACTCGAGCGGTGATCCACTGGTTCTTCAGCCCTCACTCTTCCCTATGGTTTGGCCGACCGTTTACTTTGCTCTCGAAGACGAGTCCA